TTGCAAATTTCGACACGTTAGAATGCCGTTTCCTGACCATCAGATTTCTGTCAAATCTTCCCCCAAAGTCCAGGAAATGGCATTTCAGAGACTCTAAATTCAAAAATTTTCCTGGGGGGCATGCCCCCGGACCCCCTAGACAAACATCGCACCTGCGGCACTCGGCCCTCGTTTATCAAGTGTAACATTATAGGGGCGCATATTGGCTGACAGCCCACTGGCCCCTCCAGAAAAATAGTACCCAGCACGCCACTGAGCATCACTGTAGTCACATGAAGATACAGGCACTGTTGCACTATACAAATTGTCTCGCAATTTACTGCAGTATCTTGTAATTTGCCAATTTTGCGAAATTGCAAGATATACCATGTCTTTTTTAGCACGCCTCGCAGTCATCAAGTCTCCCAACATTTATGCGGCGCAGTGGCGGCGTAACGGTTGTTACCTACCTACCGCTTCTCTTTAATTTTTTCCTTATTTTTTCCTATAGCCTATATAGCACCCCTCTTCATCCATCACTGCAAGAGGGATGTTAGTACACTGTCAATGCTATAAAAACTTGCAGCGTTGCCGCGAAAGTAGAACCTTATGATACTTTGTGCAATGTTTCAGTTGCAACCGGGGGGGGGGGACGCTCAGGGGGACTGAGGGCTCAGTTATCATTAATGAACCCTGTTAACGCTGCTGTGATTGCATTTTCTTGTTTGAATATTATGAAAACATCACTTAAAATGCAGAAAATACTTTTAAGGAGACTCTAGAATAAAAATATTTCTGGTGGTTCATGCCGCAAGTCCTCCCTAGATGGACCCCCCTCCCCTTGGTAGAATTTTATAGGACTATCGCCCTCTTGCAACTTCTCTCGCAAAATACATTTATAGTCCAAATGTTTACTCACTCAATGGCTTTCTATGCCATCTTGATTCAGTTGATTGACAATCTGGCGCCCAAGGCCGGGGAGAGGCAACCACGGGCCCTGGGACAAATTGGTGAACACGGCCCCCCTGTCACTCTTGACTCTCACGCTGATGGCCACACCAAAGTCTATTTTCTAATCGCAATCAACGAGGGAATCTCCTGCGAATTACTTGCAAGAAATCGCCACAGAATTTCGGTGTCGATGGCGCATGTGGGGTGCATGCATGTTACCGTACCAGCAGATGGACGTAATAAATATGTTCAATACAGGTATTTACCTCATTTCATCTCATAACTGATAAAGACGCGATATAAATAAACGATGTTTGGCTAACTGTTTAATAGCCCGCGTGCAGGCCCAAGGGAACTGATAGTGGGCCAATCTCGTACCCAGAGTATGCCCGTTCGCAGGTTAGGTGCTGGGCATGACTCTGGAGAAACGGAATGAAATTATCAATTTCATTGGCTGGCGTGAGATCAATAACACCGATACCGGAAATTGGTGTTCAAGTGCGGGAATTACACGTGGAAATTCACGAATCGACGTAAACAAAGTCGAAATTGCATTTATTTGCAAGATTTCAAATACAAGTTAATTGTTACATTTAA